CCTAGGGTTTAAGGCAGGCGGTGGCTTAAATCCCTGAAGGGCCCGAAGGCCAAAGGCCCTCGGGCCCGGTTCAAATTGTTTTCCTGTCAAACATTCTTCTAGGTGGTATAGCACTGGTCTGTGCATTGCTGTACAGAGGTAACTCATGGTTTCTATGATACTAAACACTGTGACACTGATGTGCCAAATGTGATAATGGTTACCCATGGTGGACAGTGTTTGGTGGAGCTTCCCAATTAAAACAAGCTTGGAAACAGGAGTGGCATCCACTTCCAAAGTGGCTTACCTCCAGAAAGCTCTATGAGCAGTACTCAGGTCTTTCATTCATAGGGTGACTATGGGTTGTCTACAACTTGATGGCACCTAACAATAACAACAATGAAAGTTTATAGAGAATGTGGATTTCCATTCATTCGTTGTTGCATATTTTCCTCCTTGACCCTCCACATCCCCCCAGTTCACTTTTTTCTTTAGAAAAAAAAATCTTTCATTGTTATAGAGTCCCACCCCCCAGTCCACTTTACTATAAAGTTCTTATTCTGGACTCTTGTCATGCCCATAATACCTAATCATATATTCATTTCATACAGTTTTCTCCCTCATCTGTTTCAATGTCATGTATATTATTTATCCCCTTTTTTCTTCGTTTCCCCCCAACCCCTATGTCAGTCCTGTTTTATAAAACAGTGGCATTAGGCAGTATCTGTCTTTTTGTGACTGAGATATTTGACTCAGCATAATGTCTTCCGTGGTACCCCATTTATATATTTCATGAGTCCTTTGGTTTTCAGTGCTGCATAAGATTCCATTGTGTGACTATGCCACAGCTTTTCTATCCATTCGTTTGTTGAAGGGCACTTGGGTTGTTTCCAACTCTTTGCTATTGTGAACAAAACAGCAATAAACATGTGTATGTATATATCTGCTTGGGTATCCATTCTGGTTTCTTTAGGGTATATTCCCAGTAGTGGAATTGTTGAGTAAGATGGTATTTCTATTTCCAACTTTCTGAGAAAGCACCATACTGCCTTCCATAGTAGTTGCATCATTTTACACTCCCACCAACAGTAAATAAGGGTCCCAGTTTCTCCACAACCTGACCAGCATTTGTTATTTGCTGCTCTGTTGAATTTTGCTATTCTTACTTGGGTGAGGTGATGTCTCATTGTTGCTTTGATTTGCATCTCTCTTAGAGCTAGAGATTTTGAACATTTCTTCATATGTTTGTTAGCCATCTGAATGTCTTCTTTGGTGAAGTGTCTGCTCATGTCATGTGCCCATTACTGGGTTGTTTACCTTTAGTATGTGCCTATGTCATGTACCCATAAACTGGGTTGTTTACCTTTAGTATTCTATAAATTCTAGATATAAGTCTCTTATCAGACATGTCATTACTAAATATTTTTTTTCCCCAGTCAGTGGCTTCCCTTTTTACCTTGCTGGAGAAGTTTTTGGATGTTCATAAGTATTTGATTCTTAGAAGGTCCTATTCATCTATGTTATCCTTTCCTGATTTTAGGTTTTTCAGGATGTTTGGAAGACTGTTTATGTGTGGATTAGGGCTTCTAGAGTTCTTCCAGGCTTTTCTTGAATGAAGTTTATAGTCCTTGGATTTAGTCCCAGGTCCTTGATCCACTTTGAGTTGGTTTTTGTGTGTGGTGTGATGTGTGGATCTTGTTTGAGTTTTCTGCAGATGGTTTTCCAATTTTGCCAACACCACTTGTTAAAAAGACTGTCATTTCCTCACTTAGCTGATTTTATCTCCTTATCAAAAATCAATTGACCATAGGTACATGGGCTGATTTCTGGGTTCTCAATTCTTTCCATTGGTCTGTGTGTCTGCCATTGTACCAGTGCCACACTGTCTTAACCACCACAGCAGTGTAATAGGACTTGAAATCAGGGCTTGAGATGCCTCCTACCTTGTTTCTCTTTTTTAAGGAGCGTTTTGCTTATTCGGGATTTCTTTCTATGCCAAATGAAATTGGAGATTGCCTTTTCTATCTCATTGAAGAATGGAATTAGTATTTGAATTGGGATTGCATTGAACATGTAGATTGCCTTTGGTAGGATTGTCATTTTCACAATACTGAGTCTTCCTCTTCATGATCAAGGTATATTCTTTCATTTCTCCAAGATCTCTTTCCTATAGAAAAAAAGAAATAGAACAATCATATCAAACTATTTCTTTTTATACACAGGGATGGGAGAAAAAAAATGTTTATTATAATGAGAGAAGAATAGGGAGAGGATTGTAAAAATATTTGCCTAAAGGAAAAAGAAGAGAAAGTGGAATAACCTGGAAGGAAGTTAGAGCCAAGTTTGGCAGGAAAAATTGAAGGTGAAAACATGTTTCCATGACACTGAATTACCTTAAACCATGACTGCTACTCCACTTAAAGAAAGGAGAGTCATTAATTACTCAAATAAACATTTTGTTGGTGTGTGGAGGGCAATTGTTCTTTGCTCTGTTTGCCATATTATAACCAAATTTTCCAAGAGAATATTTCAATTCTCAATAATAGTCTTCTTTGCTACCATTACTGGTAATTTTGATCAAAGATTCTATAGAAGAATCCTAGCCAAAAGATAGAAAACTATAAAGCATAATTTCAAATTCTTGGTGGAATCTTTACTTTCTGGATCCATTGAGACAGGATGAACCCTCAAAACTGTTGCCCTGAGATGAGTTTTAAACTTTAAACATTAAACTGAATTTATACTTTGACATCTTCTTTGAACCACAGAATGGTTTATCTTAGTAAAAAAGCATGTCAGCCCTGAGAATTTCCTCTTTGAAAGAATCTATGTGAAATGAAATTGATGACTTGGAAGTTCAGATGCTCTTTAGGGGACAGTGAGTGGAACAATTTGGAGAAAGATGTTGAAAACAGTTGAACTTGAAAAATATAATCAATGTCACTGCCATTATATATATAAAAAGTGTTGAAATGGCCTATGACTGTAGATTTTTGTGCCAAAACGTCCTGCACTTAATATTTATGTTGTATTACTTTGCACACAGCTAGTTTTTTCTGGCTTGGTTAGATTGTATAGTTAATTTAATAAATGTGAATCACTTACAAGAGCTCAAAGAACACTGAGCAAGGAAGCAGTCACATGAGGAGGGAAATTAAGCATGTGATGCTGGATCTTAACTCAAGACCTAAAAATGAAGCTGGAGCCCTGTCAATATTCCTGAATTTTTTTTCTCCTACATCTTTCTTTGTATCTCCAGAACAGAATCCTGCAGATTGATTTTTGCATTTAGCTCCAGTTTTATGCCACCTACTAGTAAATCTTTTCATAAAGCCAGTCGTAGCCAACGTGGGTTCTGATTCATCCGGGCTGTAAAACATATGCCTGGTGGTTCTGTGGTTAAAGTATTCAGGTGGGCTCTTGTGCTCCAGAACCAACTAGACCGCAAAGGGGATAAACAACATGGGCCATTTGCCTGTATTCTTCCCCACCCCTCTAATCTCCTGAAACAAAACGGGATGAGATCATTCGGTAAGAACCATCTTATCTAATCCTACCCTTGCCCTTGTCTTCTACTGGATGAACATGAACAAATAGTTCTGTTTCCATGTGAGAAAGTGTTTTTACACATAGGCCCTCTCTTGATCCTCAAAGCAAAGCTGAGATTGAAAACAGGACGGCCAGGAAAGGACCTACGACTAATAATAATAAAAGAAAGTCAAATACTAACCAAATGTCTTCACACAGAATTTACCTCTCTCCCCTTTGCTCTCAACAGTCTGGGGTGGTCATAGTAGTAGGAGTATTCCTTGCAGATAAGGAAACTGAGCTAAATTTCCTAGGTAATAGGACTTTCCATTTTTGTTTGTCCTGGAACTGCATCCACATCTTCCTGTGCTGAACAAACCTCTTTAAGACTCTAAATGGATTAATCTAATCCCCATCCCTTGACTCACTCTAATCCTAATTGCCAGTTATCAGAATATCAAAACCACGTTTACTGTTGCTTATTATTTATGGATGTTTTCATAGCTTGTTTGGATGGCTTGCTTAATTTTTTTTCTCATATGTCCTTTTGTCTAATTTTTATTTGCACTGTTCCTTTTCTTTCTATTTTTTTTCTGTTCCTAATTAATCATCCTTCTGAAAGTTTGCTAAAGAGTGGGTAAGTGCATTTTCCTTTCCAAATAACAATGTTTTGCATTGTTATATTTTGTTATTTAAAGAGCTATGGAATAATTCAAATGGGTACTAAAATGAGCTAATAAATGTCAAGGAGCTGGCATGTAACATTCTGTTGAAATCGCTTTTCCTTTTTTCCCTGGCATTTACAGCAGATTTTTGTTTGTGTGGGGGTTTGTTTTCATATTACTATTTAAATTAAATCCACAACAGCAGTTAGAGAAATGGAAAAACTTCACAGCCGACTCAATAAATCAATAAAGCCTGGGTCTGCTTATCCATGAATGGAGAAAACGAGACACTTGAACGTGACAGTGACTCAACACCTGGAGGCAGGATTGGGGAGCTCTGATGCCTTAACCCAAAGTACCTGTTTTTGCAAAAGCATTCACAGGGTCTTAGTGAAATTCCCTTTGAGCAAATTTTCCTACTCAAGCTGATTTCACCCACCCCCAGCAATTTTGCAAATAAAAACTTTCACTTTCTGTTTTAAATTATTTAATGTCTTGCTTTGTGAGACCCAAACCAACAGCCATTGAGCCATCCATGCATGCTATTTGTAAATATATGTGTGTAGCTACACATGTCAGAGTCATCAAAAGCTTTGGGTTGAGGAGCAATGAGACTGGTAATTTTGTTGTTGTTGTTGTTGTTAAGCTTTAGATCTTTCTCCATCAAAGACTTGGAGTCAGAATCTTACAGCTGCTTCTGAGACTGCGGAAGTAAATTGGGACTGGAGGCCAGGCTTTATTTACAAATTGCATTGTCTAAACCTTACTGACAAATGCCTTGCCATCACCTCCCAAACATGCTAATATTTGTCTTTCTGTGTTCTTTAGCATCAATACCACTCAAAAATAGATGAACTAATTGAAGAAACTGTTAAAGAAATGATAACACTCTTGGTTGCAAAGGTAACCTTCAGCTTCAGGTGAAATGTTTTGTTGCGAACACTGCTTTGTCATGTCTACATTTCCATTAAAATGTAACACGTTAAAAAGTTGAGCTGGATACTTGTGTTTCTCAGGAAACAAGATTGTACATCACCCAGCCTCAGCTCGGAATGATTTTTCTGATGATCGTGAGCTGTGTGAAGATAAATTGATGAAGTGGCATATGTTAACTTAATAAGAATTTGTCCCCAAACGTTGCACTGGGTTACGCAGGAAATGTTTGTTTTGTTTTCCAGCGCTGACAAAGTTAGATTTTTTTAAATACAGAAAGTTAACTGGTAATACGGAATTCTGCCATCATGAAAACCCCCTCCCCTCTAGTTTCAAATGCAGTGAGAGTCATAATAAAACATAAAAGTCAGATAAAGCTATTTCAGTCACCCTCATGAATTATAGAATTTTAACTAAGTAATGCTGAATGGGAAGACATTTATATTTGCCAGTGCTAAGCTTCTGTTTCCCCCAAATTACTGATAAAATACAAATAAAAATAGATTGGATTAAATGTAGTGCTAATATGTAACGTAAAAACTGCTTTGCGCAGTTTTGGATTTTAAAAAGTGCACTTAATATTATCGCATGCTATATGCATTTCAATAATATTTTGTCACTTTGCACTTCTGTAACACTCTATATTTGCAATCACATAATAATGAAGAGAATGCCGGATAAGTCAAATATTTCTATATAAAGGCAAGCTATTCCGTTCCCCAAAGCCTGGGATCAAATAATAGATCATAGAAACGAGCTGAGGTCTCTCAGTCTCCGTCTCTATGTGCTGGGAAATGTTACCCTTTCCTGCGAACAATTAGAGTTTGAAATAACTCTTTTTTTTCTTGTGTTTTTTTTTCTTTTGCCACAATTTCTAGTTTGTTACTATCTTGGAAGGAGTACTGGCAAAATTATCCAGATATGACGAAGGGACCTTGTTTTCTTCTTTTCTGTCATTTACTGTAAGTAAAGCGCTTTCTTATCTACTTGTTGTGTAATCTTTGTTTTGATTTGGGGTTTTTGTTTCAGAGGCGGGTGCTATTGTGTCATTTTGTGTGTAACTTAATCCTTTAATTGCAGTCAACTATCAATGTGTAATATTAACACTAGGAGAATTATCGAGATTATTTTATAACAGCAGATGATCCTAAGTCATTTGTATGCTATTTATAAATGTATTCATATATATATTTATATATACATATACCTAAATACATACACCTCTTTATGTATATCTTGAAAGAGTTGCATTTTAGCTATCTCAGACAAATTACTTCATGATTCTTGGCCATCATTTATTTCCTCATCTTTAAGTGAAGAAAATTAATTCTAGAGATCAGGAAAGTAATCTTGCAGGCCCGACAGTGCTTGCAAATATGTTTTATAAGATCCTGACTATGTTGGGTCTGTTTTGCTTGACTGAAGTCATGCCAATATTTAACAATCAGGAGACCTCATGGAGAAATCCAGACAGGATGAGCAGCCCTGGGCCTGCTTCTGTGCACAGCCTCCACCGACCAGAGCTGAGTCCTGATGGTCTCAAGACCCCATGTGCGTTTGCTGCAACATGCTCTTGTGTGTTCCCTTCATCCAAGTACCTGTATGAGTGTTGGGGTTTACAAGCACCAGAGCATACGGCCTTTGAGTTCTTTACAAATTCTGAGATGCCCTGATTCTGTGTCAGTATTGAACCAGGGCATGAAAGTGGTAGCAAGAAGGCAACCTTCTTTTCTGTAGCTAAAAGGTGCATAGTGATGTTTATCACTATACACAGGCACACGTAGGAGGACAGGAGCCCAGCTCTCTCACCTTTCCTGATGCTGGGCAGGCACTCAGGATACATGTATTCTTGCCGTTTCTGACCATGAATTTTTGCTGGCTCTGATACCATAAGAAAGGCACTTAATGCAGGGCTCACTACCTGGGGGTCATAAAAACAGCCTTACTTGAGGAGGATTCTTTCGAACAAGTACTCTGTTCCAAGACAAGATCTGGCCCAGAGAACTGGGTAGCACATCACCATCTTTGGAATCCAACAGAGTTGGGCTCAGATCTCCTTATGCATCCTAACGACAGGTGTGGTCTTGAGCAAGTGTCCACCCTGAGCTTCATTTAGATGCAATGAGGACAGAGTGATGTCTTCAAGTCAGAACTTTCGTAAGGGCGATGTAAGTAATGTTGGTCAGAGTGCTTACTTACGTTACTGTGATTGTGTGATCTTTGGGCTTAATGATTGGCAGCTATTGTTCATAAAAATTCTCCATGAGTCAACTCAAATTGGCTCACTGTCAACAGGTTTTTGGGTTTTGTTTTTGCTGTCTTTTGTTAACGTTATCAAATGCAAACATATGTGTACAGTCTCTTTCAAATGTACCCACTTCGATCTTTCCCCAATATTACTTTTCCTGGGAACTAAGGGAAATGGAGGCAGAAATATTTCCGGTCCTTTCTAGACAGGATCCACCTAGCCACATGCTCCGTGTGTTTAGCTGGTGCAGCTCCGACCTCCCCCAACTGTAAGACCAACCCAGAAGTATGATGACCTTTGTCCCTGAAGCTGATTGGTGACTGTGGTGACTGAGAAGGGGACAGTGACAATAGGAATGCAGTCTAGTTTCACTCTGTAGACTACCCCATAATATGTGGCCCCTGGAAGGAAATCTCTCCAAACCTCTTCTTTGACAATGACACTAAGGCTCAGAGAGGGAGAGGCATTTGTCTAAGGTCACAAAGCCACCGGCAAAGTGAAGGCAAGGGGTGGAGATCTGTCAGTTTCCCCTCCGCCGCCACCACTGAACCACATCCTGGAGAGAGTGGGATTCAGCTGGCAACTGCCTGGCACTAGAAGGCAGATGGGCAAATGAGTGGGGAAGATTCATAAAGGAGGATTCAGGGCACATGAGTGGGAACTATTAGACAATCTTACATTCCTCCGTGAAACCGTGGAAATGGTGAAAAGAGGCAGAATCAAATGCAGCATTTCTGGGAAAAGTTCCCTTCTCACAAACACGCGCACACACACACACAACACTTTTTAAAGTCTTCAACTTGAGCAACTGTTTTAACTTCCGTGAACTTGGGGGAAACCAGGAAGACCGGTCTGCATCTTCTTGCACAGAATTCATTGTTCCGAGGAGCTACATCCTGCTGGCTGACTTAGCAAGAGGACCAGTTAAAGGTGATCCCTTGGCAGCAGTAGCAGAGTGCGGCCCCAGGGGGCTTCCCGTGAGAGAGTGGGAAGCTGGGGCGATCCAGAGTCTGCGACGGAGGAATGTTCACGCTGACTTGCCCACCCGCTCATCCTCCTTTCCTGAGACTTTTTGCAGCCTCACAACCTGCCGAGTAAAGGCATCATAATCACGGAACACTTGGGTGTCTACTGCTGGGCATAGCTCCCCTTCCTGAGTGACACTTCTCCCACATTTCTTGGCCACCCCAAGGCCAGAAGCACCCACTTATCATTTGCAGCCTGCTTTCTCATCTCCTGTCAGTATTCCAGTGTTGGAGAACGTGAGCCGTGCTTAAGAGGCAGCAAGGATAGCTCCATCCGTTGATCCTGAGCCCTTGCCCACAATTCCACCAGGCCTTTGAAGGCGCCCAGCCGCCCAGTTGTGTGAATTACCCAGGAGTGGAGTGGAGGTGAAAGGGCTGAGCAGAAGCAGCGAGTTCTGGGGGAGGAGCCTTGGAATGGGGGCTGAGAGGACCAGCTGTGCGTCCTGAGGAGCTGGACAGGAGTGGAGAGGTAGTGCCAACACCCTGGCACCCTTTTCCTCACTCTGCTCCCATTTCGGATTCCGTTCTTCAAGTATTACTGTGCACTTACCACATCCCCACCTCAGCCGGGCTGCCAATACGAGCCATGTGCTCTGCCCCCCAGAAAGCTGACAAGTATCGACAAATATGCCACCCTTTCCCCCTCTTTCTCCCGCTGAGTGCCTCCTTTCCTGGGTGGGCTTGATTTCATGGTCCAAGCCAGACATTTTGGAAAACGTTTGCAGTGGCACGGAGCAGGCAGGAATATTTATTTCTTGTCTCCATCTGCATTGCTTCCTCTCTTGGAGAGGAGTTGGGGGGTGAGGGGAGGAGGGGGAAGGAGATGTGGCTTCTCCGTGCCAGCCCGGGAGGCGCCCAGGCGCACCCCTCCTCTCCTCCCTCCCAGCCTCGGCAGCAGTAGCAGCCTGGGATTTATGGAGGCAGCCGCCTTTCGAACTTTTGGAAGATCAGCCCAGTTGGAAGACACAATTAGCAGCCATCCGCCCATTTCTCTTGACTGTAAGATGTGCTTTTGTGTGGGTTGCTTGCTTGGAAATGTCCCTGTCTTGTGGGTAGCACGGCGCTGTTCTTTTAGGAGGCCAAAAAACGGGGTGAGCAGGTACCCAGTCTCCTCTACCAGCTAGTTCAATCTTTTCCTCAGCCACGTCTGAGTTTTCTAAGTGCATTTGTTCTAGAATCTATGCTTTCATTCATTCTCTTAGTCACTCTTCCAACATATTATGTGTAGCATGCATGCCTATCTGTGTACCATATACGGGTCTTTGGGTGGTACAAATGGTGACATATTTGAAAGGTTTAACATCCAGTGAGAGTTCAAATCCATGCCGAAGTGCCCTGGAAGTAAGGCCTGGCAGCCTACTGCAATGATTACAACTACACAGCTCTGTGGAACAGTTCTCTGTAACTCACAGGGCTTCTGGGAGTCATCACTGACTTGAAGACAACAGGTTTGCTTATCTGGTGTCATGCATTGTGGCAGGTGCTAGGGACCCCTCAATGGGCAAGAAATGCACACTCACTCTGTGCCCTTCTCGAGCTTCCATTTAGTAAAGAGATAGCAAGAAAATTGTGATTTAGAAAAGTGCTGTGCTGGGCTTAAAATGGAGAGAAGGAGAGAGAGAGAAGGTGGCAGTGGCATCCCTCCAGTAGGGTGGTCAGAGAAGGTGCCTCTGAGGAGGCGACACGTGAGCTGAAACTTGAAGGAATAAACAGGAGAGAATGTACTTCTGGACAAAACAGCTACTATAGTAGTCCTGAAGCAGAGGGCTGGTTTTGAGGGATATTTTGGCGATGACATAAATACGGCTTAGGGGCTGAATGGATGTTGGGAGTGGAGAATCGACTAGAATGAGATCAAAGTAGACATTCTAGAACTGTGACCTATTAAAGAGTTAGGTTAAAAATGAGTTCTGAAAGTCAATGGGAAGAGACTGTGGTTGGGATCCCAACTCTGCCCCTCACCAACGAGCAGGAGCCCATGCCTTGGTTTTGAATTCACTTCACTGTAAAGGGATCTATCAGATGAACCTGGATGTCTGAAACAGCAATGAGTCACTGCTCTTATTCTTAAAGCATTTGTTGAGTGCCAGGCACAGGGCTAAGTGCTTGAAATATATTTTTCTTCTCTTGGAGTTGCTCCAGAGTACCAAAGAGCAATGATGTCAGTCTGGAGACTAAGGTGCGCCTGATCCGGGCCATACTCTTCACAATTACTTGCTGTGAGTCAGAAAACTGAACAATGACTAGGGATGATAGAAAGAGAATAGATGTCTTTGAGTTGTGGTCCTGGAGAAGAGTATTGAATATATCATGGACTGCCAGGAGAACAAACAGGTTCATCCTGGAGCAGCTGAAGCCAGGCTGCTCCTAGGAGGTAAGGATTCCGAGGCTTCGTCTGACTTACTTTGGACATGTTGCAAGGAGAGACCAATCCTTGGAGAGGGACATCAGACTTGGAAGGGTAGAGGGACAGAGAAAGAGAGGAAGACCCTCAATGAGATGCATTGATTCAGTCACTGGGGTAATGAGGGTAGGTGTGTCACAGACAGTAAGGCTGGCACAGGATAGAGCAGGTTTCAGGGCCATTATACATAGGGTCACTGTGTTGCAAGCAGTTCGACGGCACATAGCAACAAACAACTTGAAGTTGCTGGAATCAGTCCATTCCAACAAAGCTATTCTTCAGATG